ATAACATGATCAGATCACATTTGATGAATGTTTTTTCGATTTAGTTTAGCGATGTGGGGATGACACAATCTAAAACACATGGCAAAAAAGCATAGACCAGACTAGAACCGGAAGTTGACAACCGGGGTCGTCGACATGGCAGAACACATTGTTTAGAGCAGAATAAGGTGGATAAGTATAAGTTTGTAAGTATAGAGTATGTATGCTAAGTAGAGCCCAACCGATAAAGGATTCTGAAGGCCGATACCGGTACAAATATTTTTGGGTTTTAAAATACGATATTCCGATATATCGGCCGATATTTTTTTTTTTATTAAATATTGATCGATTTCACACACGTGTAAAAGAAAAGCTAACTTTTCTGCACAAGATAAGTTTGATACTTTTTCTTTATGTCTAAATGTTCACTCATCGCAAGCATAACTTACATTTTACAATGCAGGGACTATAACTAGAGATGCTAGTTATAAATACAGTAATAATTACTTTATTTAGGCAGAAAAAGTTCATTGTGGTTTCCGAGCTCATTAATGTTACGTTAGCGGTCTTCCACTGATGATAGTGGCATTAGCTTGCTTTGTGGTTAGCTAGTCTATGATGAGCCATAATTTAACAATAGATAACATCACACTGCAAACTTACATTTTCAATATAACAGGCCAAGGAGAGATGATTAAAGCGTGTTTCGTCCATTTTTATTTTATTTTATAAATATTCATTTATCGGCCATTTATAACTGCCGATACCGATATTATGGAAAATGCCTAATATCGGCCGATAATATCGGTCTGGCTCTAATGCCAAGTATAAGTAACTAAAAGTACGCGTAAGTACAGTTTAAGTATGTAGGCTAAGTATAAGTAACTAAAAGTACGTATAAGTATGTAGGCTAAGTATAAGTAACTAAAAGTATACGTATAAGTATGTAGGCTAAGTATAAGTAACTAAAAGTATACGTATAAGTATGTAGGCTAAGTATAAGTAACTAAAAGTACGTATAAGTATGTAGGCTAAGTATAAGTAACTAAAAGTACGTAGGCTCAAGTATAAGTAACTAAAAGTACGTATAAGTATGTATAAGTACGTATAAGTATGTATAAGTACGTATTAGTATGTAGGCACAAGTATAAGTACTTATAAGTACGGATGAGTACGGATGAGTACGGATGGATGGATGGATGGATGGACAAATTCATGCTCAAGGCCTGACCTATTAGGCTTGGGTATCGAGAATCGAGTATCGATTGGAACCGGGACTAACTTTTCGTTTTTCCCAGAATCGTTCAAAAGTTAAAATTTCGATTCCTAGTTTCGATATTCACAGTCCGCCGAGCGGAAGAAGAAACCGCTGAACAACACCAACGAAGAAGCGTCTACCGAAAGTGTTGGCATAACCACGTGAGTCGAACATGAGTACCTTACGTCGGCGATCCAAAGTGTGGCTTCGCTTTTCTAAAAATAACGAAATCTCGGCAAAATGCAAAATTTGTGACAAAAGGAGTATTTGTGACAGGAGTATTTCCTTCAGAAAGGATTATTTCCTTCAGAAAGACCGTTGGTTAGCAAGGTTAGCTAAACTTTTTTGAACCTGCCTCTTAAAAGAATCGGAATCGAGAATCCTTAGGAACCAGAATCGAAACAAGGAATCGGAATCAGAATCGTTCAAATTCAAACGATACCCAACCCTATGACCTATTGGCCAACTGATGTGATTTTTACAATTAAAATAAAGCGTTACATGACTTCTGGTAATTCTGCAGAGATACTAAATGACACTTTCAACAAGTCGACCGAAACAAAATCCTCTCCATTCACACACAGAATCATGATGAAAGGTGCCCTGTTGTGAAATCGAAGGCTTTACGCTATCAGCACAATCACAGACGTGCAAGTGACAGAAGCACGAACAAAAGCCTGGTTCAGACTCGCGGCAAAAATTACGCGGAGAACAGGCAAACTTGACTCACGCTACACACAGCCCAAGTGGAGAAGTCAGCTAATGGAAGCTCTATCTGTCGAGACTGCAGTTTTACGCCGGGATCTTATCTCCGAGGAGTACAGAGACTCAGTTGACGACCAGGGAGCGGTAATTGTTTTCAGGGCGACCTCGGTGTCAGAACGACCACGTCACTCTATCTAGCAAGAGGTCCTGAATGAATGAATTGGGTCAGCCTGGTTCATAAAGGATTCTTTCACCCCAACACTAAGCGCACTGGAGAGGAAGCATCCTCTGCTGGCCACTGACCTTTCAGAAGAGCCCTGTGACGCTGATTCAATTCCCAAAGTCCAACCTCTTACAATGCAAATGGTAGAATGTTAAATACGTCAAAAGGAAAGGCCAGAAAAGCAATCTCGTCTCTGCTTTGGACTGGACTCTTTAAAGAAGGACGTTTTGATGTTCTGTGACGTTAAAATGCTCAATCGCTTCAGCCAGAGTGGACTTTAGGAATTATGACTAAACTCATTTTTGCCTGTACTGGATCGCTCCAGGATGAGCCAAAACAATCACATGCCTGTTCATCCCAGCATCTCAAGTTCATTCACATTATGCCAATCGTTCAGACTGAGAACTGTGACATAAAGAGCCAAGTCAGCTTTGCCGCATGCAGTCTAATCAAGTTATTATTGGACAATTACATGATATTAAAGTCGGCATGAATGGGAAAATCACCAAACCTGTTTTCTAGCTTTGATTTTATTCTGAACTATTCAACCACGTATATATAAGCTCACATTCAGACCTGCCTTCATCCAATCAACAACAGATGCACTGAAGCAAGACATAATTAGGCATAATTACATGCAACTAAACCTCAACCAAGCCTTAATCCTACCCTAACACTATAGTAAGTACATGTGGTTAATTAATATTACTCAGTACTTAAATATACAATTACACAAACAATGACACCTTAAAGGCACACTATGCAAGATTTGTACCTTAATATAACAGCTTCAAAGTTGTTTCGGTGGTCATCCTGGTAGCAGCGCCCCTGACAAATCTCGCGTGATTCACAAAATGCTTTACGGCAACGACGTCACATGCATCAAAAACAACCTATGAAGCCATTTGCACACATCCAAGAAAACTCGGTCGGACTCAGAAATGTTGAGAAAAAGGAAAAGAGAATCAGACCGCGCTAGAAACTGGACAAGAGTCCCACTCGGTCAGGCTTTCACTCGTTGGCGCGAGCTTAAAAGCAGCACTGGATGCAACAGTGATGCTGACCTGTCAAACTTGATGATAGATTTGTAAGTAAATCTCTTATTTGTAAACTTGTTTTTATTTATTTTTATCCAGCGTTATCGTGTGGCGTGATGCGGAGCGAAGAGAACAACAGAGTTTGAAGCTGCTCGTTTAAAAGACCTTGCTCGCCGGTTCCGGTTACGAATCCGGTTCCGTTAATTTACTGGTCGCACATGTGCGACTGGATGTACAATTCAGTCGCACACTCTCAAATTTTGGTCGCAGTCTGGAGCCCTGCCTACACTATCTATTTACTTGTGATTTAACAGAAATCATGTAAAAACGTTATAAGCCAGCAAACGCGATAGGTAACTTTATTATTATAAAGTAGTTTTACACTTGACATATAGTTATCATCAACCTATTATTACCATCCTCAGTAGTTCAGTAGAACTAGGAGTTACGGTCATTTACGTCAGTGCAAGTACACCACAGCTGCTCTAGGGGTCGCTGTTTTACAAAAACATCAGAGCTGCATAGTGTGCCTTTAAAATGAAGCGTAACCTTTTTTTATTTTCAAAATTTTGTTCGACCCGGATGTGCGTCACAATATGCAACAAAAAAAAATTCTGTTGCTACTTTCCTTGCATTACGACTTAACGGATGCACATGAAATTTAAATGCCAGCTGTCAAGTGTTACTGTAGTGGACATAACGATTACAACAATACAGCATTACAAATCACACGATGAACATATAAGCGCAGCTGAACTGAAAAACATAATCATCACAAAACCACTGTGTATTTGTTGGAGCAGCATGGCAGATTATTATGTTATCTAAACACAAATCTGCCAAACCTTTATAGTTTAATGGCAATGTCTTTCCTAAAGTTCTCTTACATCTTGATGAAAGCAAAACAAACTGACAAGGCAAAACTACACAAGTCGACAGTGGTCCATTGTGTTCAACCTAAAACAAATCCTTAAAACTCTCTAGTTTACTGGAATCTAGTGAAACACAGACTCTGAGAGTGATGAAGGGAACTACATTTAAAAACAGGTTCTTTTGAAGACACCTTAGCAAAGAACATCTTTGGGATCTAGATTCATGTGTACTGTATAGTTCTTTGGATTTATACTCTGTGATATAGGTTCTTCAGATCAGTGAAGTAGCTACTGGTTTATCATGAGTTCTTATGGTTTTCTAAATACAGAATAACCTACATTAAATGTTCCTGTTCCAGACTGCAAAACCCATTCATACACACACATATCACAGGGTGTCTACATTTGATACTCTTTTATAATTAAATAAGCTGAAAATAAGAATCGAATAACCTATACTCATAACGTAACGTGAAAAGGAACATTGATAAATCAAACTGTAAACTAAATATTGTGTCTCCGAGGACTTGTAAGCCAACTTAGCCAACTTGCGTTACTGTAACTAGGGAAAGACACTACAAACAATATAGAGTAAATGAAAGCGTGAAATACTGAACATTTCAAACAAATCTGAATCATCAACAACCAAACATTGCTTTTCGGAGTTTAAATAGGCTGTTTAAACTCATTCGTAACCTCAAACACGGTTAAATTTACGTTAGCTCGCTAGTCACAGTCAACGGCTGTGTGTCAAAAGCACGCGCGCTGCCTAACCAGACAGCATTCTAGTTGTGTTCGAACGCTTGAAGTGCAGTCTAGGTAGGAAGTTCACCGTGTATTGAAACACAACCAGCGGCACTTCACGGCGCTCGTAAACAACCGATTTACTGGTATTTATTAATCCACATAGGCGTTGTGATACATACCAGCTCATCTTGTGCTCAAATTCAGTCCAAATCAATCGAAATGTAATCCCGTTTTGTTGTAAACATCGCCTTTTCAGGCTTTTGAGAGTCGGACAGCAAGCAGGAAGTAGAGAAGTTTACTGCAAGTCAGAGGTCGAGAGGATTTAAACTACGGAAAGCGAAGAGGTCAAACTACAACAGCCAACAGGTCTCGCGCGAGCCATTCACACACTTATGATTGTAAAATAACCAAATTACTGTAATGATACATATTCTTAGTTTCGCTTAGTGATTTATTTTCGTGCTTTCTTTACAGAACCTATAACGACTGTCGATTGATCGACAAAACGTCGAGAAAACATGCAAAACGTTTTCTAAAATCAGTGTTAACCAGTGTAAAGTGTTACTCGGAGTTCTCAGGTATGTTAGTTTAAGTTGACCTATGAACTTTGTCTCTAAGGTTTCTCATAAAATATTTAGTAAGTAGAAGTAAACACATTGTGACACAGACACAAGAAGCTCAGGTAACCTTACCTGAGTGTGTAAAATGGTTAAATCTAATGAGAAATGTTGGAGTTCAGGTAAAATAATATATAAAATATATGATTTTTGTTGAGCAATTAAAGACAATCTCATGTAATGGGTTCTATTAATAAAATATTTCAATGCCTGTTCACATAAAATAACGATAACTACGATATTGGGCCTATCGCACCAAGGATGATAACGATAACTGAAATTATAAATTTGTAATAATCCTTCTAATGATATGAGAATAAGTCCAAACTACAACAACACTTAGGAATATATAGTTGGAATCACTTTTTGAATATTGTATAGTCATTGTTATACAATTCCTATGGATTACACACATATATATTATATGTTTAAATATTATTATTATTTTGTAAAAATGTATGCATTCAGACAACCAATTTTGGTCGTTTATTCTTAATGTTTTCAGTTGTTTGCATAGCTGTTTGTTTTTTACACCTGCGACACAAAAAAGACAATCAAAAATAGATTCAGTTGTATTTTATTCAGGTGTGTATTCAAGTACGCATCAACTGGAAAACATTGAATTTACAACAAAATCAGAAGCCGAGTGAACATTTCCTCTCCACACAAGGATAACATCAATTAATTTTGTGAACAATTAAAAGACTTTACCACTGGGCCTTATTATAAGGCAATGGAAGTAACAGGAGGTAAAAACGTATCAAAAGATCCTTTCTTCTACTGAGCTAAATCCCATGGTTGTGTCTCTCACACTCATAAAAGTGACCACGAACAACTCTAAGTGCCTCCATCTGAAAAGAGACATGCAAGACATGCAGTAAGAGATACAGTCCAGGAACAAAAAAACAAAAAAAAAGAATACGGGTACCAAAATATCTGCCACACAACATTATTTATTTGCACACTATAAACCGCAAACATTATGAGAACGGATGGGCATCAATACAGATGACTTTCTTCTTTCCCTTCTGTTTTTTTTTTTTGTTTCTAGAGAAGATGTCTCTGATCATCAGCGCAGTGGACAGCATCATGATGAGTGTCTTTAATGACCGGCCATAATGAGAAGGTTACAGGGAGTTACAAAATAATCAGGTAAACAACAGTGAATCAGTGTTGTGAAACAGGGCCTGCTTCAGAGCTGACTAGGGTCACATTTACATCTCTCTTCGCTCCTCTGTGCATATTGTTCCAGGGCAGCCAAGCCTGCAAGTTTGGGACAAACAAGGCTGTTCATCCTGGCTCTGATCCAAAGCCGGACGGTGAACAGTCATGCTGAGACCATGACGAGGAGGGGGGTGTTGTTGTGAGACTCGTCACGATATCTATTTACCCTAAAAAACAGATCGACTCCTCCGTGAACGTTCACAAAGTTCTAGATTAAGTGCAAATGATGTTTAGACACTGCAGTTCTAATGACATTGACTCACGTATTAAAAAAACAAAGGAAAATATGGACATGGAAGCACTCAGCACAGATGTACACAAGCATGCATGCATGCTCAAAACACAAACACACACAAGTTTTCCGGAGGTCACGATTGCTTGTTGCTTCACAGAACTTTATGAGGAAGACTTCTACTTGTAGTAGCATATAATAAAATCCGAGTTATGATGGACATTGCGTTTTACATTTGCGCACATTCTAATCGTCAAACGAATTTCTTTTTGAATCTTGTCAGTGGTGCCTAATGTAAAATGCTCTCCTCAAACTGGAGGTACACACATGCACGCACACAACTCCACCGGGTATCGGATCTGATCTGTAAGAACTGCTTCGCTATTTTTACCGCTGCAGTTTGGCCCTGCATTCTGATGTGTCTTGGCACAGAAAGAAAAAAGAAAATAACAGATAGATATATATATAAAAAAAGAAGCCAGAAGCTGTTTTTGTATGTATGATTTCTTAAAAGCAATAGTTCTCATAGCATGTGTGCTTCAGAAATGAAGATATCTCTCTAAAAAAGGCTGAGGAGGGACCTTGAACAGATATAACTCAACATTTACACTCTCCAATCAGGAACCCATAAGCACTGTAATGTTTCAGTTACATTGAGACGGGTGAAGAGGTACAAACTAACTTGTGTACACAACTCTGACATTCTGCCATTTCGATGCATTATTCAAGACAATAATGCCAATGTATAGGCTACGTTCAGAATGCTTGTTTAGCTTTCGGCAGATTTCAGCGGTATGTAGATGAGTTTTATGGATCAATATTTGGTTTTTTTTATCATTACGGTTTTGCACCCCAGATAAACACCGCATTTATTTATTTATTTGTTATCTCGGATGCAAGAGCCGTAACCTGATGAACATTTTCTGTATTGCCTATAAGGAGCTGCATTCATAATTAAGGGCCGAATTATTTCCGTATGTTTAATTATTCCGAATCCAAAATAATCCTTAAACACCACTGTTGTGATAATTATTCAACACAAAATAAATTCTGCCATTGGAAGTTGAGAGCCTACCAAGAGTGGGAATGTAAGCCAAGTGTTAAACAAGTGGGGCTATATATTTAAAATGCTTATAAGATAATGAGATACACAGATTATGCTTTGCTTTTTTCACCAAATAATTTTACTGTTTATTCATTTATTAAACACATCATTCAGTGTGTCCGCAAGTCATCATTTGCAATGTTGCATTAATAACAGTTAATATTTGAGACTTTAATGAAATGCTGAAGAATGCATCACATTTGACACAGTCAATACTCGATTTTTCCTGCACACACACACACTCACACACACTTAAAAACATTCTGCACTATGTACAGTCACAATCTCAAAAACAGAAGAAAGAAAACTAAAATGTAAACACATCTTTTGTTTCAACATTCAGTCAATGTGAAATCTAAGCACGCGGGCGTTGTGTATGCATTAGCACACACACACACGTACACACACACACACACACACACGAGCACAGACAAACGTTGTAATACTGAAAGACATTGCTTTGTACATTCCAAGTAGAAAACATGTAGTAATATTTTTGTATAATTATCTGTACAAAACCCCCTCTCTCGTTCTCATCGTTAAAATTCAGAATCTCTAGGCATGATCCAGATATGAGTAACCGTGGAGATACCACATTACGGGTCTGCCCCTGAGAGCAGTATAAATGTCGAAACTGTTCCCATCCAAAAACATCTTGAATGGCATGCATATAGCAGGCAGGCCTCAGCCGGCGAAAATGCAAAACAATGACTCCTAAGATCAATCCTGCCCAGTGGTGATGCCCACAGGCGAGCATTACCATCGTTTTGGCTGATTTCGTTTTTTGAAAACCTTTTGTACATGTGTGTTAAAATGCGTGCTGAATATATAATGTGCATAAAAAGGGACCCGATGGAGAATATTGGATGATGAAAGCAGGAAACACGACTGTCCAGGACAATTTTCACATAAAAATGAAGTAGATCTCATTGATAGTCTGCATGGTTTCAATTGGATGCATATTGCTGTGGGTCTTCAATCTTTTCGGTTCCAGCAAAGACACGGTACTGGATGAACAGAAAGGCTAAATGTTTGGATCGGATCGTTCTGCTTGAAGTGGATTCGCAGAACTGCGGGTTTGGCTCTTTTGCGCACTAAATTAAGCGAGACAGGTAAAGGCCACAATTTCATCCCTACAAAGTAAACTTGTGGAAGTGAGCCAGACTGTTTTGCTATTGTTGTTGTTTTTCTTATTTTATTGCACTGAAAGTCCATTGCTGATAACAAACGCCATTCGCATATCCCTTAATTCTCCAGACGGGATTTCCAAATATTAACCGACTTTTAAAGTCTCCTTGAGCCTTCAGAGCTCAAAACTCAACGTCTGAAATCAAGTTATTAGATTACTACAAACAATTTGGCACATTCTGTTGAAAAACAACAACAATAACGCAGAAACGTTAAATTATTAGCAATCATTAAAAAAAAAAACATTGAGCAAATGAAAGTGCACTTTTATCTGACAACTCACTGACGAACCAATACACAAGAAAAACAAAACTGAAAAGCCTAAAATCTCAAGAGTTTGCTCTGGAGCTGAGAGTCGAACCCTTGTGAGGTGCTCTGACCTGACTGCTTCAACCATCATCTTTACCGCCAGTCCACTTATTCCCCACTCGTTTGACCTAAAACAAACGTGGCTACAGAAACACGCCACTGTGATCAATGGAAACCGTAGCAAATGGATGGGTAATGAGTTTAAGAGTCAAGTGTACTTAAGAGGAGAACTTGTCTCCTCGCAGTCTTACTTCGCGAGTCCACCTCATGCACAAGTGGTGACGGTCATGATGTTGGCACTGCTGGGTCCCGCGCTCCCACAGGAACTGGGAGGAGAGGTGTGGCTCCCCCCGGCCCCGGCGCTACTCCCCTTGTCCGTGGGTTTCTTGTCCTTCTGTTTCAGGTGCACCTTGGCGTGCCTCTTCCGCTCGTCGCTCCGTGCAAACTTGCGTCCGCAGAACTCGCAGGAGAAGGGCTTCTCGCCCGTGTGTGTGCGGATGTGTGTCGTCAGGTGGTCGCTGCGACTGAAGGACCGCATGCAGATGCGGCACTGGAAGGGTTTGTGTCCCGTGTGGATGCGCAGGTGGCGCGTCAACTCGTCGGATCTGGAAAAGCGCCGGTCGCAGTTTTCCGCCGGACAGGCGTGCGGGCGCTCGTGGACGGGCGTTTTGCTCGGCCGGTTGGGGTACTTTCTCGGTCGGATCGGTTTGAGAGCGAGAGTCTGAGAGGGTTGGTGGTGTTGGGAAATGTGCTGTTGCCCACCGAGAAAGCTGGGATGGATCTGTTGCTTATCCTTAAAGGCTCGAATGGTCTCGAGGGGCGTGATGGGAGGGGGGTTAACTCGTATAGGGTCCATGGTTTGGAAGGGCTTGTGCTCCATCACCCCTACGTCTCCCTGGTGATGGAAGAGGTTGTAGTCTGGGATCATGGAAAAGAGACTCCCGTCCATGCCCGGCTTGGAGGTGGTGTGGTAGTCGGAGCTCGGGTAGGGTAAAGACGAGGACGTGGCGGGGCTGTGGTGGAACGACACCTGTTCCGGGTATATCTCTCCGCAGGTGGAGTAGGCGGGCAGGGGTGGCGCATACACCTGGTCCATGTCTGACGACTGGCCGCCCATGCTGCCGCCCGACGAAGACGTCTGGGTGGTGATGTTCCCCGGTGACGGCGACACCCCCAGGATTCCCGCACTCACCAGACTGATGATGTTGTTGTCGGGACACCAACCCGAGCCTCCGATGCTGCCTGATGGAGGGGTGTCGAAGGCAAACTTGCCCAGGTAGGTGACGGTTTGCCCGCTTCGACCTGACTGGAAACTCCCGGAGCCGTACTGAATTTCTCCGCTGCCCTTCTCGCCGCCCATCCCCAAGTCCATGATGTTATCTGTGGGTCAGAATGAACATGTCAATTCAGATTGCCACCAAAGGGTTTATGCATGGGAAAGTGACTAGGGGAATAATTCTAGGAGTCTCTATACTAATAGACTAACTACGGACTTAACTTTCTCCTGCTCGTTTTATAATTTTATTCTCAAGTTGGCATGCCTCTGTTAAAAAGCACATCAGTCCAAATGAAGGCGTGGATATTGATCTTTGACCAAATCAGAAGTGCAAAGCGATTCAAGACTATCTCTCACCTCCCTCGCCAACTTATTGTCTTTCTATCGGCTGCGTATCAATTGTAGGACTGGAACTTATTTGGCTTCTCTGTATACAGCAAGATGTCACGACTGACATCACTGATACTCTTATACTCTCTCTCTCTCTCTCCCACACCTTTTCAGAGAGATGTCTGTTGACACTTGACGGCTGTTCTAGGATCTGCTGTATTGTAGTCACTTCAATCACTTCTAATATGTCTGACAAAAGCGTGTTGTTGAACACAATACAGTGCTGATCGCAACGCATATCTGATTTTTTTTTTTTTTTTATGATGGCTCACTAAGTTTAGTACGTGCACTTGTGCGTACACCAAATTGTGGCTTACGGTAGAAACAAACAGAATGGAAATTACAGATGGTCCTCGCATCTGTTCAACACACATAGGGTACATGTGTGAAGAGATGCTGTGCTGTGTCTGACGGAAAAGAGTCATTCGGGCAAAAATCAGAGAGAAAGGGAGAAGCGATAAGTAAAAGAACAGGAAAAACTGTGTGTGGGGATGCATTTCACACACTTGGTGGGGGATCTTTTACAGGGGCGTTTGATAGGACACTTTGTGAGAACATGAAGGGTTTGTCACCTTGACACATTGCGATAAACAGAGATATTAATGAAGTGTGCTTACAAAAAGTTGTGATGGAGTCTAAAAATGGATATAAAAGAGTAAATATATCAAATCTACAAACATAACTTTTCTTTATTCTATTTATAGATCTATATTCTGAATTTTAGATTTTATTTTATATTTTGATTGAGATGAACCAGAGATTTTAAAAATAAACTCAAGAAATACAGGGTAATCTACATGTTTTGAGAAATTCATTTCAAAAGAATCTCTTTTTTTTTTTCCAAGAACTCACGCATTTGTCGAGGACCAGTTTTCAGCCGGAAGTTAACATTTATATTTCGAATTCATTTTGATATTTTAATGAAACGAAACGAGGTCAATACTCTCCCGCAAGTGTGGGAAGCATCGCCTCTTTTGACCTGCACAGTGAAAACCACATCAAGAGCTCTATATGAAACTCCATCAGAAGACGAATGATCTTATGCTTTCACTCTCAATAATACGATATTTCACAGCTCCTCGTCAGATGATTTAATTTAGCAAATTATTAAGGTTTAAGAAGGTAGGCTACTCCAATAGAAAAAAAAAAAACTGAGCTAAAATTTCCCACGTATTTAGATTTTTTTTTTCTGAGGCTATTTTTTGCAGTAACCATTAAAGCTTTTAGCTTAACTTTTTTTGATATTTCAAAAGGTAAAATCAGCGACAATAATAAAGACAATTCGGCTATGGAGAAAAATCCTAACAATTCGATGAGCTGCTGACTGGAAGGAATTCCTCATATTTTGGAACCATTATCTTAATCAATAATCCGCTTTAATTTATATTTTTATTGTTCACTGGATTCTAGTCAAAAATACTGTTCCAAAAAATGTAAAGACTTTTTTTTTTTTTTTAAATGTGGGGAGAAATGATTTTTAAAAAGAACACACATTTCAAAGGGCACGCGAATAAAGAGAAAAGAACCCAAAGACCAAGCGTGCATGTGAATTTCAGGAAACAAACCCTTCAGTGCCTGAATATATTTTAATTTAGAGATTTTATATTTCACGTGTTGGCCCGAGCTTTTTTAAGACCAAGAGCGCGCTTATAAACGCCCACCTGAGCGTGCGGAGGGTCAGAAAAAGGGTCAATGCTGTATAACTAATCAAAAAGCTTTAAATAATACAAATATAATATTTAGAACAGAATAGATTATAAGACTGCGGGGACAAACCGACATTAAGGTTTTTTTTTTACGGAATTAAAGCGCACAGTGAAAAACGAAACGGATTTGGACTTTATTTAATAGGCTATTATTAAAATATGAAATATACATTTCACGACTGTGCATATATTGGCAGTGAAGAACGAAGGGTTTCCGCGTGTCCCGTGACGCGTGGGCTAGAAATGTTACCTAGGCTATTACCTGATATTACCTGTCCACACTCGTATCACGTGACTGTAACATTTTAACTAGACTACTTTCACACACCTTCTTTATAGAATACAATTTGGCGACAAATTAAACGAAATTTTATCGCAGAATTCCACTGAGAAAATGCGCGTCTGTGGCTGTCTATAAATTACAGAGCTCATCTGTTATGGCATAGCTATACATTTGGTTATAATAACAATATCAATAGCTATGTAATAGCCATCTCATAAAATAATTAACCTACATACACATTCCGTTTATTAGCTATTATTACTAAGGGTAGCCAAATGCACCACAAAATAAAACCAGATCATCCCGATTCCGAACATTTGAAAATCTGTATTGAGACAAGTAGCTATGAACTAATTCTGAACACACTTTTTTTCATCAAAATATATAATCTCAAATCAACTGTTGCAGTATCAGGAGTTCTGCTACTAAACTAACTCGTAGTATTCCAGGCGTGCGTTAACAGGTGCTGCGGGGCCGCGCAGCGCGCGTTCAGCGGGCTTCAACACAACTGATGCCGCATGGATTAACTCGAACCAGCCAACACAACAGGTTACGCACTCCAAGAACAGCTCACTGAGAAGAAGTGATTCAAAAGTTTTTGCCCTTACCTGTATTCATCTGCGAGTAGTGCGAAATGGAGTCCGGGTTTGTGAAAATGTTCATAGAAGTGGGAATGTCTTCTTCTGGATAGAGACTGTCAGGTATGGTGTTGATTAAACTGCTCATGGTAATAGGGATCTTGTCCGCTAGTTTACCTGTCATAGCAGTTCTTCAGTCTGTCATTAATGAGCACGCACAGGTGTTCCGTCCCGATCAATCTCCAGTCTTCTGAAATCTCTCGAAAAGTGTCAGAAAGAGATCTCAATCCCTTTAGAAATTGTATCCAAGCGCGCGACGAGCACCGCGCAGATGTCTCTTCACGAGCTTTTGTAAATGATTTCTGTCAAGTGTTATTTTCTCAGGAGCAGTAGATGTTGAGATGTTGTTGGTGGTGGTGATTGCACAAGTGTAGAGCTGCTCACTCTATTGCGAGCACAGGGAACTCCAACGCTTTCTTGTTCAACAGGGGGACGGAACAACCGCGTGACGTAGATGACCATATATGGACACACAAAGCTAGACGGCCGCTCCACGTCACATGGAAGCTCCTCATAGTGGAACATTACTCTCGGTAGCAGGAGATAAGTGTTCGGTGGAGCAGTGAAGGGACATTTTCATCGGGTTAGGTGACTATCGGACCCGACGAAGAGTAAAACTGGTTTAAAGCTTTATTTTGAGCATGGATTTCGCTATATCTGTGAGAGCGCGTGACTGCATAAACCGGGAAACTTTTAAACTACACTGCAAGGCACCGCTGAAGCTGCATTTATACCACGGAAAAATGCATTTACGCATCGTTTCATGCAAAAGCCGAATAAATGCATTTACAAATGATGTAAATTGAGATTTATCATTTAAATATAAAATTATAAAACGGCGATGATTTCTAAAAAGATAGTATTTAGGCTGCTGTCTTGACTAGAAAAGTTTTAAGTCTGCAGCGATGTTGCACCATTTGCACAAAAGCAGACAGCCGAACACTAAAAAGAGTTGCTGGTTTAAATGTTTAAGTACAATAAACTTGAATGTTTGAGTCATTTAAACTTAATTTACATGAAACTGAAATCGTCTACTATTTTGATGAGTTAAAGCAATGAAAAAAAACATATGTTGTCATAACTTATTGATCATTTAAATGTGTAGATTTTATTCACTTAGCAACTCAACTGTGTTAAGATGCTGTAATTAAAGTATCCTGTAAGGGTCTTAATTAACATAGCTTCATATTAGCCTATAATAACATATTAGGCTATTTAAAATCACTGAATCAAGGTTACACCAACATATCCACTTTTTACAATGCAATGGATGGATACATCTCCTCCAGATTAAGATTAACATTTGCATTGCAAGACATTAGATGTATACAATGACTTGTAAATGTATTTTCTCATTTCCTCTGTCATAAGAAATAGAAAAATAAAAGTCAAGAGCCAGGTTTTGACAACATGTCTTTCTTTATTACAAATGATTATTTCATTATTACAAATGGCTATTCCAAGGCGGTGTACTATGGTCAAAGTGGCCGTATAAAGGTCATAAATCCGTGAGAATAGATTATCATTTGGAGATCAATGGAGACTGTTATTTGTGCTGCTCAATAATACAAATCAAAGCCCAAATGAATCATTTGTAAACGTCAACTAAATGGGTTTAGGCAACTGACTGCAACAGATGATGCTCAAGACCAGAAAGAAGCAACAGTGACTGAGTCTGGGTTCACAAAGACTGGAACTGCCAGAGAGTTAATCGCGTGTAAATACTGCAGGCGCGCGGCAAATCTGTAGGCTTGGCTTTGGCCTCGAGCGCCAAGTTCGCTACTGAAGTGGAAACTCCAAATAAGGGCTTGATCCGGCCACGCCCCTCGCTGTCTCTATATGGTTCGCAAGGTTCCGGTTAAGAGCTGCAAAGTGGAAAAGCGATCGGAACCCGCAGCCATTAAAGGAACCGCAGAGGGCAAAACGTCATGGGTCGTTTTTCACCAAATTAGAAACCTGGGAGAATATATCTTATCTGCGACTTTTAGAAGTAATAAAAAACTGTCCCTTGTTGCAAATGGTTGACTTTGTTTAGGGAGAAAAACAGTGAAGGGGAAACACATGCATTGCAGCCGGTGGTTCACACAAGATTTATATACGACCCCTGACACAGAACATTTTTCATATACGTGTTATTATTTGACATAATTAAACAAGCAGTTTGATAGACATGATGTCAAGATTAAAATGTGTATTAGCTACTATTTACAAATATCACTGAAAAACAACAACTTTGCTATACATAGAACAAAATAAGATGACATACTTGTCTGTGTGTAATCCAATTAGGAAGCCAGGGTGGCCCATGAGATTTCCCACGTGTCCAACTAAAATTCCTCGCTCCTCATCCAAGCCAGTCACCGGCCCAGCGCTCCTATTACCCACCGAGAGCAGAAATCCAGGCTGCCATGCATGCGCTGAAATGCTCAGAAGATGCTGATGCAATAGACAGAGTGATGAGGTAACAATTTGTACTCGAGACCCGGTTGACATGTGTATGTTGGCCTCGATCCCTGATAAATTATGTACCAAAAATATGTTCAAAATAATAACTTCATACCCTCCACTCCAGGTGCCAGACCTGATTCAAACTTATGTACCGTTGCATCGCAGTTATACACAGTTATAAACATACATTTCCAACAGCTTTATCATTTAAAACCAAAGTTTGTTTGTGTAATTTGATTTAATATAAATGCAATTTGACATTTTGTTATGGAAGACATTACCTTTTTTTAAGCATGACTTGAAGGAGTAGTTCACTTTCAAAAAAAAACAAAAAACTTTTGCTGATAATTTACTCACCCCCATGTCATCCAAGATGTCCACGTCTTTCTTTCTTCAGTCGAAAAGAAATTAAGGTTTTTGATGAAAACATTCCAGGATTTTCTCCATGTAATGGACTTCAATAGGAACCAAACGGTTCAAGGTCCAAATGAGAGTTTCAGTGCAGCTTCAAAGGGCTTTAAACGACACCAGACGATGAATAAAGATCTTATCTAGAGAAATGATTGCTCATTTAAAAAAGTTTAAGTTTTATAAACACAAATGCTCACCTTGCTCTGTCCTGTGATGCATGTTCGTGACTCTCCTGTTCAAACTCGTTTATCAAAATGAATGAATCTTGCAGGGTCCTAGATAAGATCTTCATTCATCGTCTGGTGCCGTTTAAAGCCCTTTGAAGCTGCACTGAAACTCTCTTCTGGACCTTGAACCGTTTGGTTCCCATTGAAATCCATTATATGGTGTTGATGTTTTCATCAAAAACCTTAATTTCTTTTCGACTGAAGAAAGAAAGACGTGGACATCTTGGATGTCAAGGGGGTGAGTAAATTATCAGCAAAAGTTTTTTTTTTTTAAAAGTGAACTACTCCTTTAAAGGGATAGTTCACCCCCCAAAATTAAAATTCTGTCATCATTTACTCACCCCAAAGTTGATATAACCCTAAAAGAAGATATTGTGAAGAATGTTGGTAACCAGACAGTTGTTGGACCCCATTGACTTCCATATGGTGGAAAAAAAAAAAACTTTCTTCAAAATATCTTCCTTTGTGTTTAGCAGAAGAAAGAAACTCTCACAGGTTTGAGGGCGAGTAAATGATTTTTGGGTGAACTATCCCTTTAAGTGTCTATATACTTTCCGAGACATATGCACATCTCCACATAAACACAATTCATTGGGCGCATTCATCCAATGAACAACTCCCTCAATTAACCTCATCGCATCCCCAGTAATCCCCAACAACCACACGGCTGCCAAATCAACAACACTCCGTTCTGAACTCTGGAATTATCCGTCTTGGCTTCGGATACATAAACAGTGTAGTAGTATTAGCTGACAGATATGGCCTAATGAAGTAGAAATAGAGTGTGTGGGAGGGGGGTCTGAATCATGCTGTGTGTTCTGGGGGCCACAATAAATAAACAGAGACTGACACACACTCGAGGGGGACTCCAAAGGCTAAGCTCTACTAAATTGGTGAGATGCAACGTGTGTGTAGGTGAGCTGCTAAAATGACGCTGTGAATCTGTCATTAGGGGATCTCCCCTCAACTCCTACTTTATATCCCAGACATGAATATGATCTGATCCAATCAGGATGGGAATGCGTTTAGAATGAGCCAAGCATGTTGGCAGTGCTACAGGCCGTCTCCTAGGCCCTGTTTACTCCTGGTATTGGATGCGTTTTGGTCGATCGGATCACAAGTAGACGACGGGGAGACACGTTCCCGTTTACACCTGGTGTTTTAATCCGTCTCTTCTGTCCACTTTCAAACACTTCTGTCCTGAATTCTTCGAGGGGAGGGTCTGTGGGCGGGTAAATGTATGGGCTTTTTAAGATCTTGATCCGATCAACTAAAACACATCTTAATAGCAAGTGGAAACAGGGCCTATAATGTACGCTTAAACAATCTGGTGTTGTCACATTAAATCAAAAAAAAAAAAAAAAAAAAGTAACATTTTTGTTCTTTTGTCAAATCAACTTAAATAATTAATGTGGTTCAGATAACATAATATTTTGAGTTTCTGATGATTAAATCAATCATTGTATTAACTCAAACTTAGATTTTTAAGTTAAACCAAGAATATTTTTTTATGAGTACGAGTTGACATTCTTGAAAGATGTTTTTTTTTTTTAACTAAAATTAAGCCAATTCATGACTGTCTATCACCACATTACTGGTTTTATTTGAAGATATACATTTAGAACAATTTCATGGAACTTCTATCTTATTTTTGTTTCATTTTGTAAATGAGAACCTGTCATTCATACCAAATGAGGAAATACACACATACTTCAAGTGGCCTGGTGGCTGCAAGTACTGAAAAAGAGAATGGAGACTTAGTAATTTGAATATTACTTTTTATAGACCAAAATAGAGGAAGTAAACAGTCTATTTCCACAGACTGAACCCATGACGTGTACCAGCACTCGTGTAGACCAATGCAGTGATCGAAAAATGTACAAAACAAAACAATGATTTTCATACGGCTAAAACTTGGAAACATAACCGTAACCCAGCGTTTATCATCCGTGTTGAGGCCCCCCATTTTTAAATATTTACATGACTTTGATGTAGAAATCACAAATTAAACTTTTTTTTTACAATAATTCCTAAAGAGAATTTTATTTTTGATGGAATTTCATTATTAGTCATGTAAAAAAACGGTAAACTACTGACAGATTTGCCAGCTTCTTACTGTAAAAATACGGTGTGTTACTGTTTTTGAAATGATTAGCACAGTATAAAACATTAATCTAACAGCTATATGCTCTAACACAAAAACAGTAACCCACCGTATAGTTACGATACATTTACCTTTTTTTTTTTTACAGGATTATTTTTTATAATATCTTAAATGATAAGCCAGATAAATGACTCTGTACTTACAGAATCCTCAAAC